GAAATGAGTCATTCACCTCCTTTTCGTTATACTTGATAAAAGAATTGTAGCTGATTGGAACACAAAAGAGGAGAAAATGTTCAGAGGATTCAAAATCCATCCCACTAAACAGAACATATGAAAAGCAACATGTGCAAATATGACCTTATCAGTGGCATAAGATATTTCGCTCTTCCTTGGAATCCAGCCATCATCTCAGCCGCGGCGTTCGGATCTCCATTTTTGACTGCTTCCATGTAATCCTAGAATGGAGCAACTTCTGCCATTTGGTATTACATTCCGATTAATGTTCTAGATTCTGTTCCTCGCCACCGACCACAATTGGAGATCTGATTAAAGATTGGGATTCAAGCTTTACATCATATTAACACATTCACGACGACGCCCCTTTCCACTTTTCGGTCGCGTGGGACGGACGCGATTTTGTGGGCGCCGCCGCCTCACCACATAACCGCAGATTTTGTTTTGTAAATGAACAAAAACATGAATGTCACAAAATAATTTCTGCAATGTCCAATGCGTAAAGATTATCTAAACATATAACAGTAGGATTTCGATCAGAACGACAAATAGTGGTTACGAAAAGAGAGCATTTATTCACTTTCCCCGTGAAGGAATTTAAAAGCATTTTACACTCGATTACGAGGTTTGCCCACCTATCTGTCCATTCCTAGCGCCTGGCAAGCGATTATCAGTTGGCAGCCCATATGGGCTGCCATCGTCCCAGGAGCGCATGTTGTTGGCAGCCCATATGGGCGGCCATCGGCGTGAATGTGTTAAGAAGCGCGGATACCCAAAAAGCGAGATGTTCTGAACTCGACATTCCAAATGTGATTCTCATTTGGGAATAGGGAAAAATGAGACCAAAGAAAATTGGATGATAGAACCGATCGACAAAGTAGCCCACCTGCAACATCTTCTTGAGCAGTGCCATGTACATGAGTTCAAGCTTCTCTTTAACCACATCTATGCAGACGGATACCAGCGAAAGCCCGACCATCACCACTCCGAATGTGGCAATCATATACTCTGGATGTGCGGGCGTCACATCGCCGAGACCTCAAAACGACGACATTCGGTCGAAAACAGAGCAGTAATTCCAAGTATTTTCCACCTATCGTGCTGCATGAAATGAAGAAGAAGTAAATGCTCGTGAAGTATGTCCACTCCTCCCATATGCAGAACACAGCCGCTGCCAGCATGATCCATGCAACGGTAGCTGAAAAGCATATTGTACAAGTGAAAGAAAACATGGAAGAAACTAAATGGCCTCCCATATCTTCTGTATTACACATCTTCTGTATTATTATGCAAATCTTCCGCTAACATGCTGTATGGGTTTGCATGTAACCTCTGCTCCGGAAAACCAGGAGCGCATTAAGTGCAGGCCACACACCACAAGAGACGACGGCCTCCAAGTAAATCTAGTTGTTATTCATAGTGATAGCTGATTTGGTAAATGAGAGTTGTAATTAGTGACAACTGATAGAATACAACTGCAACAGGCTAATCATTTCATTGGCAGAAAAATTTACATTTTGTGGAGGCCGTCGTCACTTGCGTGTGTAGTGATCTGCACTCGAGCGCGCTTCTGGTTTTCTGAACGGAGTGTATATGTGTGTTTGTATGTCGATAGGTTTGCCTGTCCGTCCGTAAAACGAGATGGTGTGTGCGCTAAGAAGCTGAGAGGTGCGCAGGAATTTTGTTTTCAATGCTTTTGCATAGAATGGATTCGTGAAGATTTTGTGAAATTGAGGCATCATCTCTTTTCATGGTAGCGATTTCAGACTGGATCCTTCCCACTTTTGCAGCAATGCGCCCGGTATGAGAGCGCCTACAAGTACAGTGTTTAATAAGTAATATCAAATAAAATGTTGATGCCATGTCCTCTAAAATTGTTTGAAAACAGTTGGTGCAGCAGGCTTTTAGCACAAGCGGAAATGGTTTTGAATCCTTTCATTTGGGGAGGATTCCACGACAGGGACGGAGGACGAAGCACGAGAACTTAAATAGTGGAGAGACAGGCAAACCACTGAAGGGTGCGGACCGACACCCAATTCTCGAAGAATATGTCCCTGTTGTTTTGGCATGACCATCCCCGCAGTGCAATTGGCGCCGTATGCCCTCTCTTACTCGTCTCAAGTCTCACTCTCAAGCGGTTTAGCAGAGAGAGCGTTGAAGAGGAGAGCACCGACAAGAGTCTCAACGAATTCGGGAATCAACGGACAAGTAAGGGGTCCCAGTTCTTTTGTCCTAGGCCGTTTCTGTTTTTTGTTTATGTTCTTTTTGTTTTTTTGTTTTTGTTTCTTTTTTGCTTTTGTACATCACTTACCATCTGTAACTTACCTTTGATGGGTTGCATTTTAATCGTAAAACCCGCCTTTACCCTAGCGCTAATACCATGTAGGTAACCGCTCTGACTGCATAGAATCTAAAACCAAACATACCGCAAATAGCCGACAGTACTGGAGGATCTGGGGACAGCTCCTCATCAGCAACATTGTTTTCTTCCTCTGGCTAAAATCAAAAGAGTAATGTGATTGTCATTCTGAGTTTTGTGATCGTTGACAACGCTTTGCGAACTTGTCAACAATGTTTTTTGAAGAAGGTTAACAGAGAAAAGTAAAAAAATCCACATTCAGTCTCCTTGAAACCTGGACATGTTATATTATCCTTGTTGCTACTATGCCACGAAGATTGCTACGGTGAAATACTTTCAATTTTTTCGACTTTCGAACAAATCATTGTAATCAGGACCTGAGCTTTATTTGTAATTCACAGTCTGTAATTTACCTTGTCAGACGTCCGATAATATTTCTCAAGAAATATTATCTTGTTCATCTTCTTTAGCGCTTGCCAAGCTTGGTGGCAGCGTCCGCTTTTCTGGTATGTTGACGCCACTTCTTTTCCGATTATAACACTTCACTTATTTTTGATTACGGCAAGTGAATCTTTTAACCACATTACTATCGAAGGCAACAGACCCTGATGGAACTGTTTTTTGACCTGAGCTTGAACATAGCTTTGGACTCGAGTAAGGTATGCGCACCCACTCAACGAGCTCTTCAGGGAACGCCATGTTGTCGTAAGGCATACCATATAACGTCACGCGGAACGCGATCGAAAGCCTTCTCCAAGTCTAGGAAGGCAAGTGCCGGTCTTTGTTTTTCGCGATGTTTCTTCTAAAGAAGGCGAGCGGCGTGTATAGGCATCAATGGTGCTGCAGCCGGCCACGAAGGTACACTGCTTGGTCAAAGTGGTGTGGTCCGTTCCTCCAAGCGATGCCACGGGGAACTGTTCACTTGTGGGGTGAGCTGATCGCGGACATTCGAGGCAGGTGAAAAGGCCTCGTGATAGGCCGACCTACGATCACCCCTGTCACATCACAATGTTCGTGTAACTGTATTTCTTGAAAAGTATTACAAGGCATTTTGACCATTGAATTGCAAACTAGAACTACGAACCAACTCCGGGACCTGAAGATAATGCTTGTTCGTATTGTCGTGCGAATAAAACTACTCAATCTGCATGCCGTAATGACAACAACAATAAATATTAACAGATTACGCTCGTACCGAAACCACGCTCGTGAGAGATACAGTGTTGAATCAGTCCTACTGTAGCAATTTTTTTACTCATGTAGATATATCGTGAGCGTTGCTTGGAGCCCTCCTTCAATCCTACAACTCCCATGCGGACGCCTGAAAAGTGAATTGAGAGCATTTCCACAAATCCACGCTGAAAATGGGAACAAATGAAAATGATGAGGGCACTACATCACTATGCGAACCTCAAAATCTCAAAATTTCTTATTTTTGTCGAAACTTATCGGTATACAGGAAAGGGACCCAAAAAAGACATTTTGCCTAGGTCGCAATCAGGCCCTTTTTTATTCGCAGAAATGGCCGTCTTTGACAGAATATCCTCAGCAAAG